GAATTCTTATACATTTTTTTGCTTGTTTTGTTTTAAAATATAGCAAGTGTACCTAGCAGAATTGGTGACAGGTTTCTCTACCATCAGCATTCTCAGGGTACTAGTGCTGAAAAGCAAAATGCAGTCCAATCACTGCTACACTGCCTTTGTAAAGGGTTCTGGTATGTAGACAGCTTACGTGTATTTCACAAAAAGGGCTATTTCTCCAGTTAGGCTTTTCATCTACCTACTACATTCCATGGGGAAAGGAGATAAAAATTGCTGACCTTTTGATTCCCAGAAGGATTTTGCAACCTGTTTGCAAAGGTGTGAGTGACTATATTGACAGTCTGGATGGGAAATTGAGATGCTAACCAACTCCCAAACACCACCCCAAAGAGTAAATCTTTACATTAAGTTATCAGCCAAAGTAGGCGTAATCTGCTAACTCAGCTTCCTATTCAAGTAGATGGTACTGAAGCAACCAGAGCCTTTTCTACCAGTAGGGAAATCGATACAAACATCACCAGTACTGAGTTTTACAATAACATTCTGCTATTACTGTGCACACACACACCTATGCATACATATATATATAAATATCTCTGTATAAAATGCCTAAGATATGTCTGTGTATATCCATGTGTGTGTCCTGCTGTCTGCAGCATTATACTGGGCACTGGGTTTCCCTGGCTTGCACCACTGCCTGCATTTTGTGGAGGGAGAGGTTTTGCTGACAGTTCCACAGCACTGGCAGGGAATGGAGGGCAGAAATCCTCAAGTCTTTTGTTCCTGCTACATAAATTGCCTGATTTGCCTTTCATGAAAAGGAAGATGAGGAGTAAAGCCGTGTTCATTTATGCCTAGTACAAATACTGCCGCCCGGTGCCCTTTGAGGGCAATGGGTGTCTTTCCAAGTGAACCAAAATAGCAGATTTTTTCAGTACTTTTAGAGCAGCCAACAGAGGAACAAAGAAGAACAAGGGACACAGTGCATTTTTAGAATGATGTGGAAGGATCTATGCTGAGGTGCAGAGAATCCCTGTGCTTGTCTGGAAGCACACTTAGTGATATTCCTCAGGTTTGGGGATTTTCTGCAGCACAGTAATCCCCACTGTCAGACCAAGGCTGAGACTCAGCAGGGAGTGCTCGATGTGTTACCAGCAGTGATGTGAAGGATATTGGGATCAGGCACTGGGAGGAAGTTTCTTCCTTCGCAATATCAGTGTGTCAGCTCTTTGAATTCCCCAGACTTGGGAAATTTGGCTATAAGATTCACAATACTTGGAGATCACGCTTGCACTTCTCCCAGGGAAAAATAAAGTATAAAATTCAGTAGTAATGCAAAAACTGGATTTATATGGCCTGGGCAATAATTTGAGAAGATCTGAGATGCTTAAATGGGCATCTGAGGCATTTGAGGCCCTCGAACATGTTCAAAGGAGGGCAACTAAGCTGGTGAGGGGTCTGGAACACAGGCCATATCAGGAGAGGCTGAAGGAGCTGGGAATGTTCAGCCTGGAGAAGAGGAGGCTCAGGGGAGACCTCATTGCTCTCTATAACTTCCTGAAGGGAGGTTGTAGTGAGCTGGGGATCGGCCTCTTCTCTCGTGTCATTAGTGATAGGAGCAGAGGGAATGGTTTCAAGCTACGGCAGGGGAGATTCAGGCTGGACATGAGGAAGTATTACTTTTCAGAAAGGGTGGTCAGGCACTGGAACGGACTGCCCAGGGAGGTGGTGGAGTCACCGACCCTGGGGGTGTTCAAGGGAAGGCTGGATGTTGTGTTGAGGGACATGGTTTAGTAGGAGCTATTGGGAATAGGTGAACGGTTGGACTGGATGATCTTTTAGGTATTTTCCAACCTTGGTGATTCTATGATTCTATCTACCTTAATGGAGCACAATGAACATTAGATCAGAACGCAGTGTGAAAACTTGCGTTTAAACAGAGATGTGAACTTTGTGACTTGAAATTTTCTCTGTAATAGATCAATTTTATTTAAGTAATACACTACTCAACTTAGGCACTCATTGGAAGGGACAGTGGCAGCACACCCTGGGGACAGGCCATTTTTAGTTGTCTGGAAAAAAAAAGAGTCTTGCTTACATATCCATTAAAGCAACAGCTCCACCTGAAATATGTCAAAGCTCAGTGATCTGGGATCTTCTGTGTACTTGCAGACCATATTTTTGCTGCAATGGCTCACTGGTGACCCTGCACCTTTTGGTCCGAGGACAGGTGTGTAATAAATGTGGAGCATCCAAAACTGAGGTCAGCGTCATTACTGGAAAACATCCAGACTCTCTGAACCTGCTGCTGTTCACACGCTGCACTGACATTTTACAGCTCCTAATATTTTGCTGCCCTGGGCAACCACCTATTATGCTTTTTTTGTTGCAAAGCCAATCTTCCATGGAAACACTTCCAGACCAACAGCAACTGCGCTTTCATTGGGTCATCACAAACATGGATTGCAGATGAATGTATTGATACGTGAAACATGAAACAAGTACTGCACTGCTCTGAAATTTGTCTGCCATCAGTCTTGTTTGTGCCAGTGAAATCTGGCATGAATTCCTCTATATCATTTGAGAGTTTATTTATGCAACAGCAGGTAGATTCATGTACCTGAACCCAGAGTTTAATAATTGATCTCTTTTGTGTAGAACAGCATAGAACAGCACTACATGCTGCATAACACAGCACAGTGGCCACCCCAGGCATTGTCAGCATCTGCCCAGAAGCTTGGGGTGAATGTACTGCTTGAACTGATGCCCTGGGGATGCTGGGAACGGGGAGCGAAGTGCACATACTGTCACTGCACAGCTGGCAGGGACACAGCAGCATTGTTTCATCTGACCGAAAGTCATGGTCAGGAGCAGTAATGGCAAAGGCTTGTCCCATTCCTTTGTCACACAGCGTGTGGCCCTTTAAAGCAATCATCTGTGACCTCAGTGACTCAACACGAGGGACAGCAGCAGAAGGGAAGGGAAATGCCAGAGCATGACACAATTGTTTTCCAAGCGAGCAGGTTTTTGGTGCAGAGCCAGGTGCTTGTACCTGGACTTACATGTACGTCGGTGAAGCTGCTCAAGATTAGGAGCTGTATGTGATGCCTGTGTAATGAGCCAGCCTCTTCACATGCAAATTGAGATAGTTTCTGTTCCTGGGGTCTGGTGTTCTACTGATGTGCAGGATAGAATCTGGTATAATTAATCTCTCAGCCTATTGTTGCTTTCTTGTGGACCTAAAGTTTGCTACTTCTAAGGCCTATTGACTGCATTCAATATCTCTTCCTGTTTAACTTTGTTATTCTTGCCTCCTGTCTTTTTTTTTTTTTTTTTTGGTGGGGGGGCTGTCTTTTCATTTTCCCCTTGAACTAGAGTTTGCCTGAAGTGTGGATGAGTCACAGATAACGTATTTCCTCTTTTCTGAAGCACATTTACATTTTTGAGCAATTACAGCTGACAGTGATCAGCTATACATTCCAAAATATCCTTTTCAGGGAGGAAAAAGGAGGAACAGTGATGCTGAAATCAGCTTGAAAGGTAAACGACTGAAAGAGAAAGAGAGAGAAATAAGAGACAGAGAGTCTTGGAAGGGCAGCCGGACGTAGGCATTTATTGTGCAGCATTTGATGGCAGTGCTTCAACTGATAACGTTCCTGTAATCAGAGCCACTCTGTCATACCTGTCAGCAGCCATCAGGCAAATCACAGGCAGCTCTAAATACAAATATCTGAAGCAAAAGGCATAAATAACCCAGAAAACCTATTCATTGCCTCTGCTTCTAGCCTGGCATTTTCTGAAAAGTGGGAAGGTTAGTTTATAATGGGATGTAAAAGATGCTGCTAAACTCTACATTGCCCCCATCAAAGCCATGGAGCTCCAGATCCATGTTGTGGCTCTCACCTTAAGGGCTAGAGTATTTATAATTAAATATTATAACCGTTGAAGTAATTATAACAGTTATCAGTTATGCTAACTAATAGTTTAAAGGCCTTTCATTTTTGTCCTTTTTTTTTTTTTTTTTTTTTTTTTTTTGTCTTGGAGGTCAACTGAAAATGGAGCTTCCCATTTTGGCTTGTGTCCAGGCTGTGGACTTTGTTTCTCATGTTTCTGTGGGCCTTTTCTTCTTGTAGCAAGTACTCCCTTCATAAAGAAATCTGCTACTGAGGGCTGAAGCTTGCAGGGCAACTATAGCCTCTGTCTTTTCATCCCTAAATTGTAAGGCTGTGTGGGGCTTAATAACAGAAGTCCTATGAGTACTAGAGTGAAAGTCAGGCTTGTCATATGGGGTCATCAACATGACAGGCTAATTCCTGCTGTCTCTTTCCACATATCAGAGCACCTTATATAAGAGCCATCAAGCACTCATTTGTAATAGAGAGTATTTGTGTAATGATCAGTGGTGCCACAAGACAGTCAGCTGGAGCTCCAGAAAGGGTCATCTTGACCTTCAGCTGTGACTGGAAGAAGATAATATTGCAGTTTAGCTGCACTCAACAAGTTGTTCCAGTAAATCTTCTGTACCTTCAGCACAAGGTAGGCGCCATCGCTGCTCTTTTAAAGAAGTATATCTGGGAGTCTGCTCTAAGCATCTGCCTGGGGAATACTTCTCAGTACAGCTGAAGAGTGCAACTAGGAAGCTGAAATCTGCATAACCATCCTGCTTCCTGGTTATTTCCTCATCCCTCACGTATTGCATCATCTCAGCTAATAGTAAACTGTGTTGTCAATTGTTCTCTCTATTTCTAAGGAGTGGATAGAACCACAGGACTGGAGAGTACCAGCACTCAGGTAATTTATTGCAGAGGCTAGACTGATTGGTCAGGGACTTTCTGGGAAGAATAGCACAGCAGCAGAGAGTAAGGTGCTCATTATCCATAAAAATTCCCTGTATGTTAACTGTTGCTGAACCACTGATTGAGCACCTGAGGACCCAGTTAGCCCTGGTAGCACAGGTGAAGGCAATTCAGCCGTGTGACCCACAGGGATGGAGCCTGGCTGCAGCTCTCTTATACCTCATTTAAAGGCTGGCTGCTACTCTGGGAGGATCTCTAGTTGGAGATCTGTCCTTTGTGGGGTTTTCCTGTGCGCCTAGATCTTCAGAGGCAGGTGAGCACTTTTTGTTTGTACCATCTTTCCATGGTGTTAGGCCCTTTGTTGTTATGCTTCCTGTATTGCTATTCCACTGTGTTGATCTTTCTGATTGTTACAGTCCCTCCGGGTTCTTGCTCACTTGTCTGAAGATTTGTGGGTAGATCTCAGTTTTCAGGAGAAAAAAAAAAAAAGAAAAAAGTTTGTAAACTGAATTATTTACTGAGCTTGAGTACAGCTAGAGCCTCATTTCCTAAATCTGTGTTAGATGATGAAAACTAACTTAGTTTCACTCCAGTTATTGATCTGTTCCTTACTTCCTTGACTACTGTCATCCTCTATCAGATGAGGCCTAGGCAAAGTCTAATGTTATTGAGAAGCAAGACCTACAGTTGGATCAGGTGTGAGGCTGGAGGGAATTGCCTAAGCCTGGTGTAAATGGTGAAGAAAACCCATCTGCCCTTAGAGGTTTTTTTTGTGTATTCTAAATAAATGCCATGAGATAGGCACTTGTCTGAGCCTTGGAAGCCCTAGGGATAACACTGAGTAAGAGAGAGAGCCTAGAACTGCACGGGGTGAGTCTGCAAAGGATTTGCCTAAGGATGGTGCAAACTGCAGAAATTTTCACTTTGAGCTGTTTTTCTGTGGAGGTCTTGAGCTAAGGCTCTGCTGAAGTCACTGTTTAGGGCTAGGGTTAGTCTTAGGTAAGAGACTAGAGCTGCCCTTGGCCTGAATCCGCAAAGTGGATGCGAAAGAATGCTGTAGCCTAGATTAAGAAAATACTTATAATAGTAAACTCTTCAGAGAGCTTTTTAATAATAGTAAACTCTTCAGAGAATCAACTGCCAGTTACTGTTGTCATGCCAATTTAAGTTTATATAAATCACTGGGGTTACAGATAAAGCAAATTTTATGAGACAAGAAAGAGGCTTTGAACTCTCCTGTTCACAAAGTCTCTGCTATAACTGCTTGTCCATTGCCTGTGTTGTCTCACTTGCCTTGCTGTGGTGCTGTGAATACCAATTAAGTGCTGGAATTGAAAGAGACGACTCTGCTGCTCTGGGATGAGAGAAGCAGAGTTGAAGCAAAGGCTCATGCAGTGCCATACAGCAAGACTCAAGGCAGAGATGCTCACATCAGCATCTAGTAATACCAGATTTATAGAGGTATGTGATAGTGTTAACTTTCAGGTAATTAATTTTCATGAATCTGCCAGTAACTTTTAGAGCACTGATTGTACCGAGGTGTTAATTTGCAGTCCAATCAGTTCTTGCTTTTAAATAACATTTCACCTGTAGTGTAATTACATTTTTCAGTTGTTGGCCAGATATGTAATAGGACGGTTTATAAAGTAGTTGCAGGGATTGTCTGTTTGGCTTCTTTCAACTAGGCCTAAGTTTTCCCACACTGACATAAGCATGTAATCCTAAGTGAATTCCTGCTGGTAATATACACTGAAGGTGAATTTTGACACTAGTGAACAGCAGTGCACTATTGAGCTAGAAGACTTCAATTTTTTTGGAATAACATTCAAATTGTTAAGTTCTATTTGCATTCTATGATGGAATAACTTCAAACTTTTTCAGTGGAAGAGAGAGATCTTTCACTTCAGGTTGTCTCTCAAGAAATGGCCTGCGTCCACCTTAGAGCTTCAGTTTAAAAAAATAAAATCAAAATTGGAGTGAAATACTTTGGTTTTGACTTTATTAGAGTTCCTGTGGGATGAGCTTAACTGAAAATATCCCTGTAAGTTTGGTATCTTTTAAGATGCCTGTTCACGTTGTGTGTTTCTCATTTTGAACTTAGATGTTTTGATACCCAAAAGGTTTAACACTCGAGATTAAGAGGCTTTTTGAACTTCCTGCTTTGCACAAATTCTATTCTTTCCTTCCAAGTGGAAATTTAAGGCAGTGGTTAGTAAATATAAATCTGAAATAGTGGGATCTCCCTACAGACTACAGAGGTAGGTTTACACAGGAAATGGTGTTTCCAGTAATTGAATATGATGATATAATTTGTAGCTGCACAGCCATAAGTTTGTGCAGATCAGATTGCTCCTGATTAATTAGGTTTTCTGTTTATCGCAACACCACAATCTTTAGGCAAAAAAATCATAGTTCCTGTTTTATTTACAGCTTTCCAGGAGGCAGAAGGCTTCTGAGAACAGCTTAGCTTCTCACATCACTGCCAGTCAGATGGGCTGCCCATCATGCAAGCCATGACAAACCCCTGCAGCACAGCACAGTCTGCCCCACTGCTGAATCATCCTGCATGTGGTCCTGGGGTGCCTGCAGCTTGTGCACATGTGCACATATGCACATATGAGCATTTACATAGATCCCTGCATGACAAGCACTCAGTGCTGTTCTGTTTTTGAAAAACAAAAACTTTTAAAATATGAAGTGGGAGAGCAGCTCTTGGATTACGAGAGTGGTCTTTTCTCAAGTGATTCCAGGACTGACTTATTTTTCCTAGCATTTAATGCCCCTGAGAAATAAATCCATGTGCAACATTTATGTTGTTCTGGAACAAGTGTGGCTAGCTCCAGTGCAGCTCATTGCTCAGACAGTTCAGGGCGGGAGAATGTGATCTCTTGTTTTCCTGCTGAGTAACTCCATCCTTGTGTCATTGGTCCCATGTCAAGGCCATTACTGAATTTGTCAAGCAGTCATATCCCTTCTGGAGAAGGGAAATATGCAGTGTGCAGTGCTGGGAGCATATTGGCTTTCACAGGATTTTGGATCTGGCCCATCCTATTGCCTACGTTTCTGGCCCTTACCTGTTGCTTTCAGTGTATGCTGTGCTGTGCCCTGGGACTGGCTGCACAGGAGGAGCACCAGTTTCCCCCTCAGAATTGTAGCACCCAGTATGTTGTAGCTGCACAGCTGTAGTATAAATGATAACAAGGTGAAGTGAATTGATTGCACCCAGCTGCCTAGTGTTTATGTGCATGTGCTGCTTTTGAATCTATTTCAGCAAAGGAATTTGTGCAGAGGAAGTGGCAGGGATGCTGCTCTATGGAAGACAGACCCCAGGCAGGACCAGTGCATTCTGCTGAGCAAGGCTCCTTCTCAGCCAGCTGAACCGTGGGAGCAGAGGCATGCCCTAATCATACTCCATCATGATACAGGTTCCTTCTTAGCATGCATGCAACACCCTTACTCTCTGCAGAGCAGAGGGTTGGGAGTTGAAGTTGTTAGCTTAGACATCACAGCTCTTCAGCAAAAAAGAAATCCAGTTGCTCTACAAACTTGCAGCAATGGCTCTTGCTCTCTCCCTTCTCCAGAGGACAAGGGAGGGAAAAGCAGCAGGACTGTCAACCAAGCCTTCTCATTCCCATCATATTGCCTGCTTGTAAGCCACCGCAGTCAGAATGTCTTCCAGACAGACCTTTATGGTTATAAGTATTCTGGGAACAAAACCAGTATTGGGATCATATTTTCCTTTTTTAATAAGGAAAATTAAAATAACTATGATTTTATCTTTTGATGGCTGAGGAAGAATTGAGATCGATGACTACCTGTGTTATTGCTCAGTGCTTTGAAACATTCAGACTCATAAATGAACCTTTCTTTCCTTAAAGGCAACCAAGGTGCTTGCTGCTCCAAATTCCCCAGTGTTGAAGTACTCTGTTCTAGTTTCTACAGACTGCTTGTTCTGGCTTTTCAATATTTCTAGCTTGGTGTTTTGTGTTTTTTTTTTTTTTTTTTTTTGTGCTGATATTACTGCGTGTCCTTTCTCAGATGCTGTCACTGGGGACTTACAGGATTCTACTTGGTTCAGGCCAGTCCAGCTGTGATCCACCTCTAAGCTCAGGAGGACTGAGAGCAGGCTGAACACAGGTCTCTTCTCTGGGATGGTGTGCACTGCTGAATGATGAATGTCAGAAGTGAAGGAAAATACCATTACAGCAGCCTCCACTTGCTCTCACAGATAGCTTACCGTGCAACAGAAATGTGTTGAATGTCCAGCAAGGGATTTCTACGGGGTGGTCACAGCTTCACTGCAGAGTGTGGTATAGGAGTGACAGACGTGCATTAAGCATGGCACTTGAGTAATGCAGGTGGGTAACTGAGTTAAGGAGCAGTATTTCCATTAACACTCATAAATCACTGTGTACAGAGTGTATAGCTATTCCTTTTTAACTAGTGCTTGGCCTGTGAACCAAAAGGTTGTGATAGAAAGGGAGAAATTTGCAGATGTCTTTTGGTGACATCTCTATCTAGCTGCTTAAATATATTTATCTCAGTACTAACAGAGTACAGAATTTCCAGTCTGTGAATCCTTGCATCCCAGAAAGAACTGTTGTGTTTCACAAGTAACCTTGCTCTGGCTGGTTGAAATATGAGCGCACAGCATTTAGACCAATCATACTGTACAAGTTGTAGTGTTTTCCTTAGACTCCTGGGTATGGGTTAGCTGCAGTGCTGCCAAAGGACATTCCATAGTCAGAGGAAATTGAGTGTAGGTGGGCAGCCCAGAGCCCAAGTGCATACTTAATAAGCTCTCAGTTGTTGTACTTAGAGGGGTGAGTCACACAATAATCATCCTATTATCAAAATCACTTGGGTGTGTTGGATTTTTTTTTTTTAAGCTTAAATTTCAAGTAAGAGTTGCTGATATTTTCCAGAGATTTAAATTCTGAAAGTAGGAAAAAATATGAAGCAAAGCAAGTTGGCTGACACACATAAGTGTGTGCAAATACTGCTACTTTGGTTGTGAACTGTTTTCTATTTAAGTGCCAAAAAATATTTCAAATGTTTTTGAATAAACTGAGGCTGAGGGCCTCTGGCAAGGAAAAGGGTTTTGGATGTGGCAAGCAGACATCAGACTGACCTTCCGTTCTAGAGAATGAGTGGCTTTCTAACTAGAAAGGATTAACAGCTGGATAAGAAGGCAAGCACCTGCAGGATGAATACATAAATCTTGTGTTTTGCATATACAAAATATTTTGCTCCCAAGGTTTATCTCAATCTGCTATAAGATGAAAATTGTTGGGTTTTTGTTTTGTTGAGTTCTTAAAGCAGAGTGCCTTCTCCTAAAGACCTCCTAGGTTAGGGTGCTGTTTGTGAACTCATGATGCTTTTTTGTGAAGTGATTCTCCTGTGCCAGCTGCTTCCTGTGTGCTGCCCTGCATACCCACATGTTTCTGCGAGGTCTGCTAGCACGAGAAGAGCCCTTCTGAGAGTAGGGAGGAGTTTTGTGGGCCTCCAGCGTCCCCTTCTGCCCAATGTTTGTGCCAATCCTTTTCCAGTGCCAGCTATTGACATTGCACACAAGAAGGCCTCATCTCCTTCAATGAACAATTCCAAAGCAAGTTTTCTGCTGAGGGATCCTCAAGGCTTCTATTTCCCTTGGGTTTCACCCTTCTGTTCAGGGGAAGGGTGGAGCAGTGCCCTGGTTAGGGCTGTTTGCCTGCTCCTTTCCTTTCTTGTGATGGAAGAATGCTAACATGGTCTCTGAGGCCACCAGGGTCTTGCCCAGCCCATTGCAGGCATGAGTCAGGGGTGAGCACAGGCTGTCACATCTCCTCCTCCAGCTGGGAGGAAATGGCTTTTAGTCAGAGACAGAAATAGAGGTACAAAAGGAGTATCATCTATGTCTGTTCTCTCTTTTCACTTGGTTTCTTCTTAGATTACCCTGTTTTAAAAGCTATTAGTATCCTGACAGCATAAATGAGGAGAAACTTGTTTCATTTAAATGATATTAGGAATTCATTCTCTACTCTGAAGCTATTCTTTCTGTTCTCTGATTTGTCCTTCAAAGGTATCCTGGAATATCAAACCTCTTTACTCATATTGCATGGTCTCCATGCTGCTGCTTCTTTTCTCTGAAATACACTGCAGGAGAGCAGAAGGGCTGTGTAAATGGTATGCAGACCAGACATAAGCCAGAAATCCCTCTCTACCTAAACACACTTCTTTTGTAGGAGTGCTCACCCAGTGGTGTGAGGGAATCATTCGGCAACATCACTGGTGGAGCTAAGGGTCTTGTGAACAACACTACAGCTGAGGAACTGGGAGCTGAAAACTACTTTTTTTTTTTTTTAATGAATTTTTATCAGAAAAATTATTTCTGATAAGAGTAATGCAATTCTTGTTAAGAAGGAGGCAATCTCCTTCCTTGTATTATGCATTACTTTTAGGCTATTAATCCTATTAAGGGCTATTAATATTGGCTCAGTGATCTCAAATTTGTATCTGGGTGCCTTCTAAGTTTGTTTCCCCTTTATTTCCATCTAGTGCTCTAGGGGCATAACAGCAGGCAGGAACTACTATCAGAACATAAGGCCCTGCATTTCTGTGACTCAGCTTCCCTTCTTCCTGCAGAAGCTGAAGTGCACCAGGTGCTCCATGGCACAGGTGTTCTATGGATGCTGGCTCTGGCTTCAAGGATCTCCCAGCCTCATGCATTCACAGAATGTTTCCTGACATTGAATATGAGAGCAGCTACTTATTTCACCTTTTTCACTCTGCTGTTGTAAACCATATTCTTAACAAGGATGCATTTCAGTTGTTCAGCAGCCTGCATATAAACTAGTCTTTGTACCAAAATGCTTAAAGTACTGTTTTGTGAATAAACACAGTCCAAACTACTGAAGCTAATGAAAGCCTTTTCATGAACATTAATGGGAGTTTGATCTTCATGTGTGCTGCTGCACATCCAGGATTCCTGCTGATCTTTAGCAGGGTGAAGCGGCACAAATTCCCTCCAGAGTAGGGCAGAAGTATACAGCTAACTACTGCTGAAATGCCCTGTGGTCAGACACATGGTAGGGTTTGATTTTTTGATGCAAGTGAAGTGTTCAACTTGGTGGTCCTCAGGACACCATTTTTCTTCTCCTGCATCCACTCTCTTGCATAGCTCAGGTTGAAGGATGCTTTGTAGGCCTTCTGACATGCCATCACTGGAGGGGATGATACCAGGCAGGGTTAGCATGGTGCCTGTTGAAGGCTTACTCTCCCTGAGCCATCTACTCAGAGACAGCGACTGTCCCCATGGGAACTGCAAGATATGGGGAATCTCAGCCATCACCCTACCATCACTTTGCCCGTGGGGACAGTGGCCAGTGACTGTGAGAAACATGGCCCTGTGCAGCATGGCCTCTGGTTGAAGGACACCCCAACAGCTCTCCAACCAGTGCTGATTATCCTGCCCCTGTACTCACCACTGGTGAAGCCTCAGCTTGAGTACTGTGTTCGGTTTTGGGCACCTCATTACAGAAAGGACATGGAGGTGCTGGAGCAGGTCCAAAGAATGGCAACAAGGCTTGTGAAGGGCTTGGAGAATATGCCCTATGAGGAACTGAAGGAACTGGGGCTGTTAGTCTGGGGAAAAAGAGGCTGAGGGGAGACCTAATTGCTCTCTTCCAATACCTGAAAGGTGCTTACAGTGAGAGTGGGGTTGGTCTGTTCTCACAGGTGACAGGATGAGGGGAAACGGTCTTAAGTTGTGCCAGGGGAAGTTTAGGCTGGATATCAGGAAGCACTTCTTTACAGAAGGGCTTGTCGGGCACTGGAATAGGCTCCCTGGAGAGGTGATTGAGTCACCATCCCTGAATGTGTTTAAAAAACTGGATGTGGTGCTCAGGGACATGATTTAACAGAAGGTTGGGTAGTATGGTTAGTTGTGGTTGGACTCAGTGATCTTTGAGGGCTTTTCCAACTTGAGTGATGCTATGATTTGAAGCTCTTGTACTTAGACTTGTTTCATTTCAGGGGTTTGTTATGAAAGCTGCCATAGATGTGCAGCTCAGTACTATAAAAGTAGGAAGATACATGTAATTGTTGTATCTTGCCAGCTGCTGCAAAACACAAATGTAAACCCTGATCATGAGGCGATCAGTACTTACACAGCCCAGCAAGCAATGTGGAATGCTAAGCAAGCTTTGCAGTGAGGAGCAGAGATGTTACTAAGGAACCATACTCTGATCTCTGTCTTCCATGAAGTGACTTGTAAAAATAGTGAAGAGACAATTACTTTAAGAATTTTGAAAGACTGTCTGTGTCCCTTTAAATAAATGCACTTTGTGGGTTTTTTTCCCCTTCGTGTAACTGTGGGCTCCTTCTGTTGTTATTGCTGAGCACGTTCACCCTCCTCCAGATGAAGCTTATCTATTGGTTCAGCTTGCCCTAGAGATCGTGCTGAGCAGCTGAATCTCAGTTCCTGCCATTTTTGTGACACTGCTCATTAGGCAGGGTAAATGATGTTGTCTCTGTGTATAGAAGAACGTGATGTTAGTGCTGTCTCATTTTCAGTTTGTATCTCATTACAGATGTCCAGTTTCTGTGGTCACCAAGTTTTCCCCTTGTTGCTTGTTAGTTTTTCTCATAGTGTTATCTCCTCAACTTTCAAGGACACAAGAATCACCTGCAGAGCAAAGATCTCAGAAATTAGGTTGTTTTGCTGAGGGAAAGGCACACACTTAGTTTAGTACTTAATGAACAGCCTCTGAAGGGTTTTGTTTAAATTAGCACTTGGAGGCTGAAGGGGTAAGGAGAAAGATAAAATATTCTTAACAGTGGCAAAAGAAGTTATATAAAATAAGGACAACGGGATACTATGCTGTAAACATAGAAATAAAGTGCTTAGGTTCTCTTGTAGCTCAGTTTGAAATTATAACACTCTAGAACACTATTTGGAGAGCTGTTGTTGATTGCTGTTGTGATGGAGCTGAGATGTCTGTTCCCACCTCACATAGCAGATGTGGGACCATGTCAAGTGGGAGAGATTCTTTTCACAAGGTGTAGGGGGAAGGCAATACGGCATCCTTGCATTCATGCACCAAGCACCTGACATCTAGAATTAGGTATGTTATTCTTCCCTCTCACTGTGATACCCTTACTACCCTGTTAGTGGCATCATAGAAGGGTTTGGGTTGGAAGGGATGTTTAAGATCATCTAGTTCCAACCCCCTGCTATAGGCAGGGACACCTCCCTCTAAACCAGGTTGCTCAAAGCCCCATACAGCCTGGCCTTGAATGTTTCCAGGGAGAGGGCATGATAATCCCCTTTTTAAAAAATGTTGGTGATTCTTTCCTATGCCAACCCTTGCCTGCACACAGCTCTTCAACTCCTCTATAGTTCCGTTTCTGGAAACTGTGCTGCTTAGCATCAAGTTGTGTTTTTAGCCATGAGGATGCTCTTTTGTATATCAAATTTTCCGCTGTCCTTCTGCATCAAGGCAGTTGTAGCTCTTACACTCTCTAGTAGCTGCTGTCTTTCAGGGAGCTCCTTGTGAGCTCAAACAGGCTACAGTAGCCCTCAGTTACTAACTGGTAGCATCTGCAGATACAGTATTCAGACAAAGGCAGAATCTTATAGTATAATAGGGCCATAAGGAGTAGATGGACAGGTTATACTCACCAGTATGGAATGATGGTACTTAAATAACCATGAACATCTTGAAGAGCATCCTCATCACATCTTTATGTGTGGAGTTTTGTGTTGTGGAGTTACAGCAAGTTGTCATTGTCAAGATAGTGCTACATTCATGCTGCAACTGCTGTGGAAGGAAATGAGGAAATGTGTTCAAAATGCCTTTTCTAGTGGCTAGGGAGAAAGGGAAGAAAAGGAGACACCCTTGTGCAAATAATGACATTTTGTTCTACTGGCTATTACAATAGAGACAATACAGATATAAAAATGCCTACTGTAAAGTATGTATGATTTAAAAAAAAAAAGTTCTAAATCATTTTTCAAGGTTAATTGAATATAATAGAGCTAGGGTTGTCTGTTTTTGATTGTGTTCTTTATAAAGGCTCTTATGTCTCTTGTGTTTGAATCTTCTCCTGACATGCTGTACAAAATCAGTGTGCCTTCTGCTTTTATGGAGAAGGGTCATTGATTCTACATTTTGGATGGGATTTCCTTATGTTCACCCCATTCTTCTCACTGTAATTACATCTGTGTTTCTTGGTCCACTAAAGCAGATGTGCTGCAAATAGAGAACATGCTCCCATTTCTCCTTTTGTTTCTTCCTGACTGGTCTGAAGCTGAGACCTGTGTAAATGGCGATGGATTTTGATTTCCCACTGCTCTTGTCAGGGTGAATTTTTATTAGAGAAACAGCCAAGTTGTGCATCTTTGGTCTCCCGTTGTAAGTCCTGTTGAGAAAAGGGGCTATTTCAGCAATTAAAATTGGAAGATATCTCAAAAATAAGTCACATCTTCATGGTTCCCAGCCCCAGAGGCTCCATCTGGACTCTCCCAGCTGGTTGACAGTGGAGATTTGGCTCTAATTCAAGAGGCACAACTACTACTCACGTGTGTGCCTAGGTTTCCATTTCTGTCCCATCCCCCCTATGTCCACAAGCTATCCTGGTATCTGTATCCTTACAGTTTTAACACTGGCTTGCTGCTGATGGAAGATGGCCACCAGCTCCATCAGCTCAATGTAATTCCCTAATAAAATGTCTGCTGGTATTGGCAAGAAAGCCCCTAAGGAGTATATCTTCTGGAAAGACAACAATTAAAAGAGATGGCTGGGGTAATTGTGCTTGATTGAAAGGAGATATACTTTTTCTAGCAGAAAAATAAGCACTTAAAAATGTTCGGCCAGCCGAGGATAATTATCTGGCCGGTGACGCGCAAGTACAGAGGGCGGTTAATCCATTTTAAATTGCTCCTGCAGTCAGGAGAGCAACTTGGAAATGTAACCAAGCTAGCTTGCGCTCTGGGTGCATGCAGAAAGACTCCTTTGATATCTGAACTAGGCTTGATGTGCATGGCCATTCTTTTCCTCACTGTAACTTGCTACTATATGCACTCAGTAACAAGGCTCCTCTCCTGCCTGGTAAACCCTGGATCTGGGTTTGGGTAAAGGAATCATCCTCTCCCTCTCAAGGTGCTGCCAATAAAACATGTCTGTTTTAAAGGTCTATAGTTGACAATGCTGGGTTGTTGGAGGGGCCCCAACCTACTGATTGCTCTCCCAGCAGCACTGGCCCTGACAGGAGAAGCTGGTCCTTATGTCAAAGACAATATATAGGTGTGACTGAAATGCACACAGGAAACACCAGGAGAGGAAAACAAAGCCATGTCTCTGGTCCTTTATCCCACTGCTGCGTTTTAAATACTGAGTCACGAAATCTTTTTTTCTTTCCCTGGTTGCACTAGGCTGATGAGAGAAGAGTAAGGTGATATGTGAGTATACATTAAGGGCAGTTTTCTAAATAAACCTGAAAGCCTGCAGAACCCATCCTGGGATTTACCAGCATCTTGAGTCAAAACACCCATTTAGATCGCCTCTAACTGGTGTGCACAAAACACTTCAGGCTTGCTTATGTGTTACAAAAGAGGGAGGGGAAGAGGACTTGGAGCGCTGATACACTTCTCTGCCACCCCCTTCCCCATAACTGTGAAGATCTGAATTCACATGCTCATTTGTACCAGCACAACAGAGAAGCCTCACGGTTTTGTCTGGTTAGCAGGAATTGCAAACCACTCAAGCGCTGCCATAGGGTGCCAAATGCAAGCATTACCTCATCACCACGTAGTGTTATTGGCTGGAGATAACTGAAGGTGGGGAATTATTGCCTACCCACATGGTGAGAGCTGAATTTTCTCATTATCTCTTTCTCTTTCTTTCAAACC